AAGCAACCAAATTGCCGTCTTCGTTTAAACAAACCATGTTGGATTACAGGCTCGTGTCTCTTCTTCCTGCTGCTAGCTTTGTGAAATGTATTCCACCTCCTCACCACAGCAGACATCACACCTCCAGAAGGGAACATCTGCCAAAAGTCAGAATCATAAATATTGCAGAGTATGTTTATTTAGAGTTGATCTCACCCCACACACAGAGCAACCTGAGCAGTGCTTAACACCAAAGATAGGCCTCAGTTTTGATTATGATAATTGGAGCTAATGAATCACACTGCAGCGTTTAGACTCATGAAATCACAGCCTTAAGGTGCGTCCGGTGTGAAAGTCTCATTAGACACTTTTACATACATTGCTACACTTAAACACTGGCTTTCGCACAAATAGGCTAGTATACAGTTAATATAGATTTCTATTGATTAAGTAAATACTGAATAATATGAACTTAAAGCAGATAAGTATGGATAGTTCATTCGAGGAGTAGATTAACATACAGTACAATATACTTTTTCACTGTCTTGCAGGGAGTTATTTAAAGATTGATATGTATGCTAAATATGAAGCTACTGCTGGTTAGCTTATTTTCACATATAGAGTGGAAAAGGAGTTATTTCTTCCTTTTTTGTTATGACTGTTAAGGAATCCAGGCAAGTCTGGCACATAACGCCCCATATCACCACGGGCATGCTGTTTTACACATTTGCCTGGATGAAAACAAGATAAGCCTTTATCATGTTAGTAAACTGAGACATTTTAGCAGTAGATGGATTTAGTTACCTTTCTACAGAACCAGGCTAGCTACATTTAGAATGAGAGCAGTATAAATCTAACTCTTAACAAGAAGCGATTAAGATTACCAAAATATCCAACTGTTGCTTTCAACATCTAAAAAAATTGGATTTGGACGTTATCCTGTTGCTGTAAAGCTTCCATAAGTGTATACATGTAAACAACTGATGATAAATAATACATGACATTAAAAATGATGTTATGTAAGAGCCATTAGAGCCAATTCACTTAAAAGGCTGTTTCTCCCTGTATTTTGCTGCAGTTGAGTTTGAATCGAGTCAAGATGACCAAAGCCCATTTTTCAGAAAATCATCAGGTATGATAAAAAGCTAAGTACTCTACTTCTTGGAACCATGGATCGTTGCCATACGGTCTTGTTGTAACAGTAATTTTCAAATCCACTAAACAAGAGGCAACCTAGAAAAATGAGAATTAATGGCATAGGTCGGATATTACCTTTTTATAGAATGTCTAAAGCACAAATGATGTGTCATTTATCATACAGTATTCTTTCATCACAGCATGAATAAATTACACCAACGTTCTTCCCACAACATACGTAAAAACAGATGTGTCAGGAAATGACACGTCTTTTTCAAGAGGCAGTTCTACTCAACGTTTATTTGGCAAGTGAACAAAAAATGTTGAAGGCTGTCAAACTCCCTTCACAGGATGAAAGCCTGCCTTCTGTGCATTTACGCAAAGATGAAGTGCAAGCTGCCATGTTGGCAAGAAAAAGCAGTATATTTTGATCGCTTATCATCTTTGTTTCTTATTCGTGACATTTTCAAGACAGGGATCAGCTTTTAAATCCTAAGAATTAAACAAATGTTTGTTGAATGAAATGTACCCACAGCTGCAGGATTTGAAAGATGCAAACACTAGTTCGATCCAGAGAAGCCATTAGTTTGAAATATAACCACGAGGAAGATGCAGGGTGCCACATTTCAGAGAGCAATGAAAAGTGAAAACGACTTAATGCACGATTAAGGCTTGTGCTAGCCTAAATCGTTACTTTAAATGTCCCCTATTATACTGTTTTTAATCAATATATTATAGGTCTCAGACATATACAAAACATGTCTCTGAAGTGTTTGGCTGAAATACCAAACAGATCATTGCAGCATCCCATAATCCCCTCTGTTTCAGCCCTGTTTCCAAAGTGCTGATTCTCTGTCTGTTACTTTAGATGAAAATAAGGAGCCACTCCCCACGCCCCTCTGAGAGATATCTGGTTAAAAAAAACACAATGGTGCTCTAGGAGGAGATGCAGGTGATAAGGTGATTCAGGTGATAACCCTGGTTAGTGATTGGCTAATGGTTACACAAGCCAAAAAATCGTTATGACATCATAAAGTGGCCAAAATCTGATCAGCTCATTTTCAGGCAGGTTTTTATATAAATGGATCCGGACAAAAAGTGAGCGAATCTTTGTTATTGAAACTTTCAGAATCTCTTTACACAGAAAGGACACGTATAAAATACATGAAAAAGTGGATTTTGCATGATACTGTAGGTGACCTTTAGGTGACAAAGCCCCTGAGCTTAAAAATGAGTGGAATTGAAAATTGTAATAATAAAGTCTAGTTCAGGCAGCTTTGTATCAGTCGGTCGATGCAGCAGCAGAGGTGGAACACCTTCATTTCTCCTCACTTTATCTGATCTCACAGCCCACTTAAATTATCTGTGAGCAGGAACCCCTCACTTTATTAATGCTTGCAAATTCTGCCCAAGTACAAGAATCGCCTTCGGCTAAGACAGTAGGATTTGCACGGTGATATTTTCTGAGCTAACTTTGCTGGGGATGATCCGTGGGCGGACGTCAACGACTGCAGCTGCTCTGTGAGTTCAGAAGTGGATGGCATTCAAGGGAAGAGAGAGCTTTTTTTTGTTTAAATAATGAGCCACAGGAAGGCTGTGTAACCGCACAGTTCAAAGTGTTCATGGAAATGCACACTTGCCGGGTTCGGATTGCAGCGTCAAAACCAACCTCCTAAGCTGTCCTGGAGGAAACCTATAGAAACAAATGTAATACAAGTTTGCTGATCCAGGCATGTTCAGAAGATAACAGACTTCATTTACAAAGCTCTTTCTCCTAATTGAAAATACAGCTAATAGCTTAAGTGCTTGCTATCTGGGAAAGCTAAAATAATGTACAGGGGGCTCACTATGTTGGGGTGATGACTATACTGACTGTGGGGTTTAAACTCTAGAGAAGCCTTTTTCAGAAACATCTCTATCTCTTCCATCTTTATCTACACTATCTACTGTGTGCCATTCAATTAAACTGAGGAGCAACCTTATTTTGTATATGCAGAGATTGTGCTTCATTGCCTGTATTGTGATGCTAATAAGACACTATCACTGCACATTATGAGCTTCCTGTACTGCGACCTATCATTCTGATGAAGTGTCATGGGTAATAAACATGACACTGTAATAGATTAAACAATGCAGCTGATCGAACAGTTTGAAATTGTTTCTACTTGCATGAAAAAAACTGCTGTTGGTCTGGAAAGTCTCCTGATGTATTATGTATCCTTGCGATGTTTGGCCCAATATACACAAACACAGAAAGGGGCAACAAAATCCTATTACATTTTTCACAACTACTGTTGTGAAAAACTGCCCTCTTGAACTGTAGAGGGCAAGAAATAACAAAGCTGAGGGAAGCCTCAGCTCCTTACCTCTGATGGGCTATTCGTTATTCTAGCTAGTAGAAGCCCCATTAGGTCTGCCATTTAATGCTCCCATGCCACATTCTCACATGAAAGCAACAAGATTGATGAGCCGACCATCTCACCTCAAGCCACTTTTGTGTTTGAGAAATGCTCTACCACAGATAATCTAACACAGAGCTGATTTAGCTACCTGTGTACCTCGAAGTATCTGACATTACTGGAAACCATGACACATTTCAGCTGGTCTCTCTGGTGTCCTCAGTAAAGGGCAAAACAAGAACGTGAGTCAGGCTACAGTGCAATCCACTGACTTGAAATATTATGGAATGATTCATAGGGTACATATGGAATATATTTAATGAGCTGTGTGGGAGTGTTAGATAAAACTGTGTCTCTGAGCTGCACTGACAGAAATAACTAAGAAGAAAGATGTCCTCTGGACTTTACAACGTGTTGGGTTAGTCCGACAAAAGGTTCAACTAGGTTTCCAGTGACACAATGTCTTCCCTCAACACAACATGTCCTGGTAATCACACTTTAACCATACTGCCAATTAAAAACAAAGATACTGGACAGAGGAAGACAGATGCGTAGCATTAAGGGACGAAAAAGACTACACAGGCGAAAAAGTGCCTAATTAAGCATGAGCAGATTGATTAGTCCTTCTGTCAAGGCTTTTTGTCTTAATCCCTCCGTGTCATACAGTGGTTCAGAGTCTGCTGTGTGAAGGAGTCTGGCTTTGTCAATTTCAACTTTTTGGACAAAAGTTACACTTGTGATGCCGAATATTGTCGTTATCTTTTTGAGATTAACAAAAGCAGCATATTGAAGTTTGTAACTGCATTAGTACACTTAAGCCAGACAGGAATCGAGCCCAAATGCATCATTTATCTTTTATTTGGCTGCAGGCCTTTATAGTGTTCTCCAGCCTGCAGTGACTATTTTCATTTTGGAGATTAAGTAAAATCTTAAGTACATGCTTGCTAGAGACAGACAAGGAGACATATGATCAGCTGGTATGATTGTAAATATTAACATATTTGATACAGCAAATAAAAACAGATATCAAAATTCACACCACTTGTGTTTTTGCCACTACAGTTGTTGCAGCAAACACACAGGAGAGGAAAGGACCACCTGCAGAGTGACTTGATTTGTTGTTATTCCTGTGTGGACAGCAAGCCATTTGTGAATAAATAATAGGCTGGCTGATAATACATAGATTCATCAATAGGCTGTTTCATGTCAAAAATAAAAGATGGGTCTCCTTTGTGCATAATGCATCTTACTGTAAGTTCTCCAGGGAGAAGAGCTGGCTCTGCAGTTTCAGCTAATGGGAATCATATTTTAGCAGCAAAACTGTATGATTCAGAACAACAGCTGGGTAATCATATGGAACTGAACAAACCCAGCATATTGTAAAACAAGTCACCATGCACTGACCTTTGCTTCCTTATCCCAAAACAGACAAGAGCAGAGGAGAAAAAATAACGTTTTTTCTCCACAGATTGTTAGAAAATTTACCTCTCATGCCTCGCAGTGGAAATGGATTTTTGGAGGGCAACGGTCATACCTCGCATTCCCTGGAGCCTGAGATGGTGTATGTGTAAGGTCCTGTCCCATTAACCAGCACATCCATAGTCTCTGAGTGTGAAGGCTTGTAGTCCACATAGTACTCTTGCAGTGGTGAATTAAGGGAGCGCTCGGTCTCCCGTGCATTTTTCTGGCGCTTTTTGACTCCTGAGCGCTGCTGAAGCTGTTTTAAGCTGCTGGGATAGCGCCTCCACGAGACATAGATTACCAGCAGAATTATAGCCACGGATAAGAGGAGTGCCACACTACCAGCTATGATCTTATGGAAGGAAACATACTCAGTGTCTGGCAAAGAGAAGGTGGGGGTGGCCTCGTAGGGAGTAGGGGAGGCTGTCCTGTTCCAGATCTGCTTCTTATCCTCCACAGACTCTGTGGGAAGAGACAGCAGCTCAGGTTGAAATGCAGAGGTGAGGGGAGATGTTGTTAATGGGACGGGGGCCGGTGTTGCTGTGCAAATGTTATAAGTGTCCACCACATCGGTCACTTTCTCTCCTTGGGCCTCCTTTGGGCCGGCACAAATCATAGTGGTCTCCTTGTTACCCTTAAAGGCCTTGAGCCAGGCCGCTAGGGGACATATATTTGGGTTACAGTACCACAAATTACCAGCCAGACTGATTGTGGTGAGGGAGATCCAAGCCTCCACTGCCTGCTGAGACACATTGCTCAGCTTGTTGGAGTCCAGGTTAAGAGTCTGCAGATTAGGAAGGCATTGAAACGTACTCGGGTCCAACACTTGGAGCTCATTCCCAGAGACGTCCAACTTTTGCAAGGAGGTCCACATCCACGGCAGGCCCTGGGTCAGCACTTTGATACGGTTCCACTGCAAATACAGCGCCCGCAGGTTAGTCAGGCGGGGGAAATGAGCAAAGTTTATCTTTGAGAACTGGTTGTGCTCCAGATGAAGCTCGATGAGCTTAAGGAGTCCAGCAAAGGCGTTACGTGTGAGGCTCCGTAGCCTGTTGTAGCCAATATCAAGAAACTCCAGGTTGCGACAGTCAAGGAAAACTCGCATGGGGACAGTTTTCAAGGAGTTTGATCTCAAGTGTAAACTGAGCAGTTTTCGCAGACCCACAAACTGATTAGGCTGGAGAACCTGCAGTTTATTATAGGAAAGGTCTAGATTGCGTAAATTCGGAACATCATGAAAAGTGTTGTTTTTGAGCAGTGTGATCTTATTTGAGCTGAGAATCAGTTCTTTCAGCCTCCGTATCCCATGGAAAGCCTGGCCGTCCACATCATTGATGTAATTGTGGTCGAGGTAGAGCCACACTAGTTGACTCAGGCCTGCAAACTGGTGTGTTCGGAGGTTCACCAGGCTGTTGTAACGCAGGGAGAGGCCCTGGGTGCTCACAGACACATTGTTTGGCACGTCACGGAAGGCATTGGATTCACAGTATATTATTTTCCCATCACATCTACAGCTCTGGAGGCAGGGACGCTCACGGATGCCACTTGGAGCAGCAAGCAGCCAGGCGGGCACCACCACTGTGAATACAAGCCATCTGAATAGCAAGAGAAGTCCTGCAGACACACAGAGAAGTGATAGACGTATGAGCACTCATAAATAGAAATCAAAACTATTATACACAAACAAGAAGAGAATACATTGAATAAAATGTAATCTGAATCAGGGGACCAAACATTTTAACCCATATTCATTTTTTATCAGAGGGGTTATTTGCAGCCTACTTCATTTGCATCTAGACACACATTTACATTCATTATCACAGTCAAAGTCATGCTCTTGAACATTGGAAAGGAGATTGATAATCACATGCATCAAGCAGTATCCGTAAAATAGTTGCTGAGAGAAAAACCTCCATCCGATCCCCCAGCCTGCAGTCATCACTCATACACCACAGGGGGCAAAGACACCAGCGACATTGGCTTTAAGTGAATTGTAATTAGGAAAAAGACTTTGAAATGCACGAGTACCATGCGGAACGGTGTACATACCCATATTTGCGCGGTGTCGGCTCCTCCTCATGGTTAGGGCTCTCTGTTGCATGCGTCCCAGGTCCACATGTTAGATACACTCGGCGTTTAGTCCAAACAGTTGGACACGCACCCAGGACGACTGTCTGCCCGGAGAATATTAGTACTTTGCACCGCAGTCAGATCCGCTTTGCGCACAGCCGCACACCTGTCGGAGATGTGAGTAGCTCCAAAAGGTGCGCATCAACCCCCGTCTATAGTTTCCTACGTTACCGAACAACATCAGCTGGATGATGCATATTTCATCCTTCCACCTTTTCAAAGCCGTTTGGGTGGAAGCGCTCAAGCTTGTTATAGCCTCATGAGAATCACACTGTTGAGCGCATGCTTTGGCAGGCTAGATACATTTTCAACACAGAGTCGCCAATTGTTAAGGTTAAGTGCCAGGTAAGACACCAGATACCCGACCAAGTGAAGAAATCAGAGAGGAATAAACTCAAGTCCAAACCCAAGTTGTATCCAGATGGAGATGTGGGAGATAAGGCGAAGTCTGCTGTGGATTTCACCCAGTGAACGTGGCATCAAGAATAAATCAGTAGTATAGCAACAGGAATTATGCTGGTGTAGGATTATACTGAGCTCACTGCTGCTCTTTTCAGGACTTGAGATGCCCTCTCCTGGTCAATGTGTGACTCTCCGCAGCCCTCACCAAAGTACAACTCATTGTCCTCGTGAGCAGAGCCTGCATATCAATTAAAGGAGGGGGGTAGTCTGTGTGTGAGGAGCTGCCAGTCAAACGCCTCTGAACAGCCTATATATAAATGTAATCTCAGGCTTAAATAGACAGAAAGATGGTTGTTACATTTTGATGATCTTAATTGTGATTACACACGACCACTGAAGCAAGAGTATTATACCGAATGGCCCTTCTTAATGCTGCTGTAAATGACCTCTTAATGTTTATATACATACAATATGTTGTTGGAATATAATTACTAATGCATTAACATTTATCTGAATGCAGCCGATGGTTATTGTCCATTTGTTGTCCATACGTCTTTTCTGCGGCTCCCTTATATCAAATTACTGATTTCTTACACTGCGCATAGCTTTTATTCTTGTATTTATCTGTTTCATTTTATTTCAGCTTGTTTTAATTTTCTAGCATACAGGCTCTTCAACCATCACAATTTATTTTAACCATCCTTTTATAGTGTGTATCTTTTTTCACTTTGTCTGATGCTTTTAATGTTGTGTGTCAAGCACTGCCTGGTTGTTGGTATGTGCTATAAATACATTTGCCTTGCCTTAATGTTTGCCTTAATACTATTGGGTGGTATACTTTATAAGAATGCATTGCTCTTCAGAAGTTCATTATATTTGTTGTCACAACGTAACCTTCAAGTAACTAATTGCTAGCAGGGGGCTAAAATAAGCAATTGTGTTCATTTTAATGTAGTGAAACAGAAGTAACATAAAACAAAAGTCCCTCAAGAAGGAATTGAATTACATTACAGTAAATGTACTTTCCTTAAACTACTTTTTTTATTAATATAAAGTCTAATTGTTTGCGGTTGTGGTTTGAAATGTCTATGGTTTAATGCATTCACAACAATTGTATACCCTAAATGCACCTGACGCTGTATCAGCAGTATATATTTATATTTATCTTACCTGTTAAAGTGTTGATTCGAGTTGTATCAGCTGATATGATTCTAAATTAGTGTTTCATAGGTAAACTATAATGAAAATATGAGCTAAGTCCAAATTTGTGTCGCCATAGAACAGAGTAACAAGAGAGACAAATCGTGTACATTTTCTTCTACAGGTAGGTACGACACGTAAGCTAAATCAACTGTAACACAGTTCTTACTTTGCTTTCTCATATGACAATGTATTAACAATAAGCACATTGTTTGTTATTTAATTAGAAATGCTATAAAAACAACAACTTTTGACTGGCAGTTGTGGGTTTAACAAACAAAGGAAAACCACAGATGGGTCGCAAAGCATGTATATTTTTATCTCATTTATTTGGTTTTGAAAGCCCTTTTTTAATCCTTGCCAAGAAAATAAGCTACGAAAGCTCAGCTGGTATTTCTTCACAGCTCATCGTTTCGCATGTTATTGACACTGAAATGCGTCACGTGTAAACAAAGGGTGGTCTTAAGACCTCATAATGGGACTGTGAGTCAGGGTCAAAGTCATCACTTCTAATGGGTCCCTCTGCACTCCTACTTAATGAGTAGCCTAATTACGGGTGATGGACATTAATGAGCTCAGAGTGAAGACAGTTTTTGACGAGAAATCAGTGGCAACAAAAATAAAACTGATCCATTTAGCACTTCAGCGGCAGTCACAGATTTAATTTCCATTGTTAGATCAATACGCTAACTGGAGTTGAAGGACAGGGCATGTACCTTACACACACACACACACACACACACACACACACACACACACACACACACACACACACACACACACACACACACACACCACACACACACACACACACCACACACACACACACACACACACACTCTTCCACTCACACACCAAGGTGACTGAAAGTATGGCAAATGCATTACCATACATAGCGCACAGGTTTGAATGTAGAATGTCCTTCAGGATACTCACATAAATATGGTCTGATGATGCTCAAGTGTAACTAAATATTACGGAGCCCTGGAGGGTTCATAGAGAGAAAAATAAATAAAACGAGCCTCAATTTACATAAAACGAGGTCACGCTTTGTTAATTTGTGCGCACAAGATACTTTCTCGTTCGCACGAAATACTATCTTGTGCGCACGAAATACTATCTTGTGCGCACGAAATACTATCTTGTGCGCACGAAATACTATCTTGTGCGCACGAAATAGTATTTTGTGCGAACGAGAAAGTATATCGTGCGCACGAGAAAGTGCTCTCTCCATGAACCTTTAGGGGCTTTGTAAAATATAAAACTGATATATAACATTTGAAGAGATACTTTCCAAACATGAATTAAACTGAAGCCAACATATTTCAAAGAGAGCATTGAGCTGCATTACTGCTAAAAAATAGAAGTGACATTTTACCAGATTTTCCTCATCTGTTAGGATTTGTGACAATTGTGACTTTCTTAGTTTGTCACGATTATACGCAGAAAAGTACTTGTAAAGCTTTGCCACAATTTAAGTTAAATATTTGTATTTCTAATGGTAAAACTTGCCAAAAATAAGTGGAGTCATATCACAGCTATACTCATATACCTTTTAGTAAGCCTTACTTGCTCTTCCATAAATCAACCTTCTCAATTGTAACCCAGCTCTGAGCTTTACATTGTATTACTAACAGTCATCAAACCAGCTAAATGTGTTTCCCATAAGGTGGGGATGAGGATGTGGGAATGTGGCCAACCTTTCTGTTCAAAGAGAGTGCATTTTATGAACTCTATAGAGGGTGTGTGGTTTATGATACCCCTCATCCCCTCTTCATACAATTTAAAGAAAAACATACCCACACTCGTCTTTCAAGACAGCAATTTATTTCACATGTAAATGATCATGAATTGTGTCCTCCGATTTATTGTTGAGGTCCAAAGGAGTTTCAGTTCCAGCAGACACAATGACACTTGTACAGACTTATTTTTAAAAGCTACCTGTTTCACATTACATTACATTGCATTTAGCTGACGCTTTTATCCAAAGCGACTTACAATAAGTACATTCGACCAGGAAGACACAACCTTGAAGAAAACAGAATCATATAAGTACATCAGGTTTCATAGAGCCAAACATTTCAAGTGCTACTCAACTGGCTTATAGATAAGCCAGTCCTTTCACATGTTGCTTAATCAGAACTATTTGTGTGCCTTCAGAAGCACCTTAAATCATCTGGTACTGATTAGCAAAAAGTCACACACCCCACGAGAGCGCGATTAAAGTTAATAAAAGGCAGCATACAGTACTTACAATAAAAATAACTGCATTTCAATTATAAGATACAAAAAAATGTCAAGAGCACAGCAGCGTAGATATTTCTACAAGATACCATAAACGTTCCCAGAACAGAAAAGGGAAGAATATTAACATATAATCAGAAAATATATCAGAAAATAACCAAGAAATAATCTCAAATTGTCTCAACCTATTGTTGCTTAGATTCAATTCTGCCATTTAAATCAGAAATGCACATATCCGTATATCATATTATATATCATATTTAAGGTAGAAAGGTGTTCTATATTTGTATGCATATATTATAAAATCCAGGTCTGTTGTTCCGAGTGTTATACTTGTTGGTCTGAATATTGTCACATCTGTAATTGATTAATTGCCAGTTATCTCCATTCATAATCACTTAACAATCACTTCACGTTGCTCTCGTGCAATCATCCTTTGTACAGTTGTTTTTGTATTCCCTGTGGTCTGTGCATCAATTCCTATTTGTGTTGTCGAACAAATCTAACATGACCCACTTTCACTTTTACATTTCATCAGTTTTTTTGGGCTGTCTTTTGCGATTCCGGCATATGCGAACAATGCAGAGCTGCATGGATCAATAATTAAATTACAAACAGTCAACTTTCAACATTAGAAGCAATATCACTCACTTTCTAAAGCTCTGCCAAGTTTAATAGTTCTTGCTTTTTATCTGCCTTACAGCTGGAATTTGACTGCTTGTCAAAACATTCCTCAAATAAAATGTGTTGTGTTTTGTGGCCCCGCTGACTCCTTGTTGATCATCTGTCGTCTTTTGTAATGTTCCCACAGGCGTCATCAAGTAAAATTCCACTCAAGAGAACAGCATGTCGCTCTCTTCTCATGAAAAACATGGAATCCCCAGCGGTAAACGGGAAAGGTATGGTGCCACCTTATGCACTCACCTCACTTTGCAAATAACTCCGCAACCAAATTGCTTCCTATGAAACTTTAATGACTGTCTGTGACTGACTGAGCCCTGAATAATAGAGCAAGGGAAGGACCTGCTTTTTTGCAGCATAATGACTCCCACTGAAACAAGAGTGAAGAAATGTATAAATAGTAAATTAATTATAACAAAGAAAGATTTAAAACCATGTGGAAGCCAGTTTATTAACCCTGACCCTGACTCCTAAATGTGTAACTTACCTTAATTACCCACAAATAACACGTACAAAGTGTCCAAGCAGCAGGTAAATATTTCAGAGACAGAGGGTTGGTCCCAAAACATCTGGCACTTAATCCCCTGCTGCTTCGAAGAGTTGAATGAGGGAGGGTAAAAAAAGAAAAATACTGTATACACTGGTTATTTTAAATACCAAGGGCTGCATACTGACTTTGCTCTGGCATCCTACTGTCTGTATGAAGCCATTTCTTTATCATTCACTCATGATGTCTCTATGTGTGGTTTTTATCCACGTAAAAGTTCTCTCTCTGCGTCAGAATACCTCAAGTGCAGGAGGAATGTTTTTTAGTTTTCTCAAGATAGAAAACTAAAAGTTGTTCAGACGACTTGTATTCATAATCGGTTTCATTGCATGCATGTGTGAAGAGCATCCCCTCTCTTAAGACAAACTCACATTGAAGTAAACCTGGTTAAATCAGCTTAAACAGAGGTC